ATGTACTTACTAATAATAGAATAGCTTGTGTTGCAATGTAATAAAACATAAGCAGACAGGTGCATGAAATTACAGAAGAACCACTGATTAGGGCTTTGAAACCTTCCACACTCCTCATTTATAAGGACCGAAACACTAAGGAAGAAGAAGAAGACGAAGAAGCGTACATCGGCGACGAGAAAGTCGGGGGGGGGGGGGGGAATGGCGTTGGCGTTCGACGAGTACGGGAGGCCATTCATTATACTAAAAGAGCAAGAGCAGAAAACGAGGCTTAGAGGGCTCGATGCTCAAAAAGCCAACATTTCCACTGGCAAAGCGGTCACTCGGATCCTCCGAACCTCTCTAGGACCCAAAGGCATGGATAAGATGCTCCAATCCCCTACGGCGATATCACCATTAGTTAACTCCTTTCTACCTCTTTCTCCGTCTTGTTTTCGAATTTCTTACTTGATCGTTAAGTTTCTAGTTACTCAATATGATTTTCGAAAGATGATTTTCGGTTTTGGATCTGTTTGACATCAACTTTGAAATGAAAGGGTAGATATATTAAGCTATTTTGGTGATAAATGTAGGTTTTAACGACACTTTTAGGATTTGTAGTTACTTTATGGAAATTCACTAGTTGTTGAACTGCAACTTTGCTTTAGGTAAAGTTACCGTTGATAATTTTCTGAACTAGGGTTATGAGCTTAATGTTTCAGGGCATAGCTTCTTGAAGTTTATGTTTCCAAAGTAAATGTTAACCACATAAGGATGTTGGATTTGTTAGTGGAATTAGACATGAATTGTGTTCAAAGTTTCCTGATGTTTTCTTTTTGTTTGATATTCCTAGCAAATGACGGGGCAACGATCTTGGAGCAGATGGATGTTGACAATCAAATTGCTAAGTTGATGGTTGAGCTATCTCGAAGTCAGGATTATGAAATTGGTGATGGAACAACTGGTGTTGTCGTCATGGCTGGGGCACTTCTTGAGCAGGCAGAGCGGCTGTTAGAACGTGGGATTCACCCCATCCGGATTGCAGAGGGTTATGAAATGACTTCTAGAATAACTGTTGAGCATTTGGAACATATAGCTCAGAAGTTTGATTTCGGACCTACTAATTTAGAGCCTTTGGTTCAAACATGCATGACCACTCTGTCCTAAAAAATGTAAGTTTTCTAGCTTTTTCCCCCCTCGTAGTCTATTTTTGTTCTAAATACAGTTTCTATTTCCCTTAGCCATGTTCAGATCACAATAATACATTACTAAAAACATTATTGTTACAACCGTAACAGGATAATACTAGCTTATGTTGCATGGCTAAATATTTTCTTGCATATTGTTCTTCTATAAGGAGGAAATTGTGTCTAATTTGTTTCAAGATGCTTCTGTTCTAAGCAAAGGCTAATTCATATGTATATGTCATCTCTCCTACATGTCTGGTAATTGTGATAACCTTTCTCCACCACCTGGATTTGCTAATCGAATTAGATGATCATGGTTGCTATCAGTATGATGTTAAATACAATTAATTGCCTCCCTGCATTTCTTCTGATACAGTAGTCTGGAACTAGATTGGGTGGCCCGTGGCTTGATTAAATAGCTCTTGCTGTCAGCTAGCAATTCATGAACTTGTTAGTATTGAGAAGTGAGGCTCTTAATATTGGAATTCAGGAAAGATATTCAAAGATAATTTTTTTGTGAATCCATTTCTAGACTGATGTATTTTGTTATATTTTGTATATCATGAATGTGTAACCATTTTCAATTGTTTTGTAGTGTAAACCGGTGCAAGCATGCTTTAGCTTAAATTTCTGTTAAAGCAGTTCTTGCTGTTGCTGATCTAGAGAGGAAAGATGTCAATTTAGATCTGATCAAGGTTGAGGGAAAATTTGGAGGAAAATTGGAAGATACTGAGCTAATATATGGAATTACTGTTGATAAGGACATGCATCCTCAGATGCCGAAGCAAATTGAAGATGCAAAAATTGCAATATTAACTTGCCCTTTTGAGCCACCTAAGCCAAAGACTAAACATAAGGTAGAGATTGATACTGTGGAAAAGTTTCAGACTTTGCGCCAGCAAGAGCAGAAGTATTTTGATGACATGGTTCAGAAATGCAAGGTATAGCCGCAGATTGGAGTTCTTAGGAATTTCCTTTTTCAATTTCAAGTTGATCTTTTCACATTCTGTCTTGCTTCAGATTATCCTCTTTTGTGTGTGGGCGTGTGTGTTTGGGGGCGGGGATATTATTATTTTGGGGCGAGGTTGGACAACTTGTTCTCATAGTAATGTTGTTTCAGGATGTTGGTGCCACCTTGGTTATCTGTCAGTGGGGGTTTGATGATGAGGCAAATCATTTATTGATGCACCGGAATTTTCCTGCTGTCAGATGGGTTGGTGGTGTGGAATTGGAACTTATAGCAATAGCTACAGGTTTGTTTCCGTTTAGTTTATTTTTCATTTGGCATCATGCAGGCAAATTTTATGATAGATTAATATTTTCTAGTTGATTGTGCAACCTTAATCTGCAATGAGTAATCTAATCATATTTATCTTTATAGGTGGAAGGATTGTTCCAAGGTTCCAAGAGTTGACCCCAGAAAAAGCTGGGAAGGGTATGTGAATTCTTTCCTTGTCTATCCTACATTGGTTAGAAATGTGTGCTAGATAAATTCTTCGTTTGGGAATTCCTTTTCATGCATTAGATAGAGGACGACTGATGAAAGCCCGAGTGAGATGATTCGACATTGAATGACTTTGAGTTTAAGCAAGCACTGGAGCTTTGCTCATTTGGACTAACAATTCTTGGATAAATTGAATTTTATTATATCCAAAAAGTAAGCAAACGAGTTGCTACAAAAGGACCACTACTTTCTATCCCATCAATAACTTATACATTTACGCCCCAATTCCTAATCATTTTTCTATTGAAGTAATTATAGTAATCTTCTTAGTATCCATCCTAACTGCACAATATCCTTTATGCAATTAAAATGACTTTGAACATGAAGTCAAGATTCACCATGGAGCCTCGAGTTTTGCTCTTTCCAAATGACATACACATAAGCATTCCATGGTAGACGAACAATAGAGGTCTTTACAATCTTCCCACACCCATGAGGCCAAGACTAAACACCCATGGAGATTTTTTCTCCTTGTTCTATTTGGTTGCAGTTGAGTTGGGTGGTTTATTACATTATGTTCAATTGATAATATAGTTATCTCTAATTGATCATTAGAATGGAAACTATTGACAATATGATTGTAGACAGCATTGTGATTTGTTTTTGTATCTTAAACTGGCTTAAGCCTACACAATTGTTCTACTCTGTGAATTACTTGTGCTATTTTCCTGTTTCTAAATTATTGTTATGCCTCCTGGTCTACACGGAGTGAGGCTTTTTTACCAGCCAACTTTAAAACTGGATAAACAAATAGGAAAATTAATAGGTTGACGAGTAATCTGGGGCCAAGCTTACATGACACTTTTAGGCACATTCTGAGACATTTCTTGCTTCCGTTTTAGTACTGCATTCCCTGTTTAGAGATGTTGGGACATTTTTTCCTGTTCAATACAGAATTGATCGGGCATTTTTTAAGTTTATTATATTGACTGAAGCAACAAAGTGACTAAGCTAAATTGAGATGGTTATGCATGTATAAATCATTGAATGTTTCCATTTATGTCTGATGATGCTTTAGGAAACAAAATGATGATAGAGGAGACAAAGCGCAGTATCCATGATGCACTGTGTGTGGCTAGGAATCTCATTCACAATAATTCTATTGTCTATGGTGGTGACTCAGCTGAGATTTCTTGCTCAATTGCCGTAGAGACTGCTTCAGATAAATAACCTGGAGTTGAGCAGGTAAAGAAGTAGCTCTTTGAATCATCTTCATAGTTAGTGTTCCCTTTTTGTTGTGGTATTTATAGTTTCTATCAATTTTTTATCTGCAGTATGCAATCCGGGCATTTGCAGATGCTTTAGATGCTGTCCCCATGGCTCTGGATGAAAATAGAGGGCTCCAACCCATTGAGACATTATCAGCAGTGAAATCTCAACAAATTAAGGTAAATTACTTGGTAATAGGATGATGACTTTGATCCGGTATAATATTCACCTCCATGGAGTAATATAATTAACTCTTGCTTGTGTCTGACGTGCAGGAAAATAATCCACACTTAGGGATAGACTGCAATGATGTTGGGACGAATGATATGCGTGAGCAAAATGTCTTTATCGGGAAGCAGCAGCAAATCTTACTTGCAACACAAGTTGTTAAGATGATTTTGAAGATTGATGATGTCATTTCCCCATCTGACTACTGAACTTCACGGTCAGCTGGAGGTTAGCCTGTTTGATGGTTTTGTATTCTTCACTGTGAAACCATGTGTTCACTTTAGACGCAAGCGAACACATGTTTTGCTTATAATTTTTGAACTGCCAACCCTTGATTGATAGAATTGTTTTGAGTAACTTTCAATAACATATGGATCTTTGATACTAGGTCTTCCCTGTATGTAAAAATGCCAGACAAGAAAAAAACTGCTATTTAATGTTGAATTTGAATTTTGGTTGTTTCCTCTAATATATCGTGCAAGTATTTGTGTGACATTAGAGTTTTAGACAATAAAGGCTATATGCCGAGTCGACCGAGACTTGAATATAACTATTAGGTATGGGTACAATTATAATTAAATTTTAGTTTTTCATGTATTTAGATCTTTGGAGGTCATGTCCCCATACCCATGTGTCAAGTAGAGTATTGGATATTGATTTTAAAAAGAATGAGTCATGGTAACTAGCTGAAGACTCTTTGCAATCTACTAAAAACAGTTGAAGATCGGATAAATTAAGAATTTAACTTACATAAGTAGGAAATATTTGAACTATTATCTACTTTATGGCCAATGTGCTAAACCATTGCCTTAGGAAATCAACCTTGTTGCACTGCTCAGGGCCCCTTATTAACCTAACTTCACTGATAAATCTTCACGACGCTTCTGTGTACCTCTATTTACAACATAAACAAAAGGAAATCTAAACATCAAATGCAATTAAGTGGCATGATAAGTTGGAAATGATGGCATGGTCTAAAGCGATTAGAGGAGAAATTGATCTGAGTTCCTAATCGAGATCGAGATCGACTCGTTCTGGGTTTCCCTTTTCTGTCTGATTGTTCATTAGCACTATGCCTAGCTGACCTTTATCTCCTGCCCCAAACGCATAAAGCTTCCCTGATTCAGTGAGTGCAAATGTGTGGGCATTCCAGTGTATTGAGTTTGTTAGGCTAATCTGTATCACCTTTTCATTCACTTGCTTCAAGGACTTCACCAGTTCTGGGCTCAACACATTGGCATGTCTGTTCCCCTGCCACATTAGCAATAAACCGAAATGTTGATGGTTACTTGATCACTTCTTTTTAATTTCTAACTTCCTGTTTCAATTTCTCCAGACATGGATGTGTCCAACATGAGGATACTCAATTTCCCCAAGTTTCTTCATATACATTTTTGGAGGATCCTATCTCCACACCCATAACAGAAAAATGTATGCCGGAAATAAGTGTCGAACACAAGTACTTTTGATAAAAAGAGTCCATGTAACATAGGTTGTTATTTTCTTCTCAAAATTATTATAAAACAGTAAAATGAAGTCTAAAGGGAATGGAAGTTCAAACCTGTCCTTCAGCTGCAGTATTGTGTCCTAAGCTGGCAGATTCCCCACAACCAAAAGAATATACATCACCATCTTCAGATACCACAAAGGTTGTATAGTCCCCTGTAGCGACATGAACTGCTTTGACATTGCTTATTGCCTCTACCACCTTCGGGACCGATTCACACTCTTCATTTCCATGACCCAAGCACCCATAACGTCCCCAACCCCATGTGCAGACCCTTCCATCCCGAGCAACGACAGCTGCATGCCAAGCACCAGCAGCAACCACCATTGGCTGAAGGTTCAAAAGCTGAAATTCTTCGATTAATCGAGGGTGCTTTTCATCCGTTCTTGAACCGTGTCCTAGCTTTCCACCCAAGCCACACCCAACAGAGTACACTGACCTAATGTTTCAAAAAGCAGGGCACACTGGTAAGTAATTGTTCATATAAGACATTCAAATGAAATGACCAAATAATGACATATCCTCTTAATTTTCAAAATGCCCATGTCCCACACATATTCGGACAGGATTCTTGGAGAGTCACGTTCTTGTACCCCCATCCAAAAATGTGTATGATATAGGTGTTGGACATGAATGATGCAAGAAAAATGAAAAACCGAAACAATGTCTGCATGCCAGCTTAAAAGTAGATTTAAGGAGCCCCACAAAAAGGTATTCGGATACTAACATGCCACTTGGTTGACAAGCTAGGCAAAGAAGGTAGCAGTATCCAGCTGCAATTTGCACAACTGGTATATTTTCTAGAGCCCCCAAAAGAGGTTGAGGCTCAACATCATTTGGTTCAGTTTGGTGACCAAGCTTCCTGTCTTTACCCCAAGAGAATGTGTAAACTCTGCCCTCTCTTGACAATACGGCCGTAAAAAAGTTTCCAATTGCAGTCTGCACAACGAATATGTCTTTCAAAGACTCAACAAGTTGCGGAGTCGTAACTAGGTTAGTTCCTTGAACCCCAAATTCCGCTTCACCAAATGTATCCTTTCCGAAGGCATAAACTCTACCAGCATCACTAACTAGCATCGTCCGACCAGCCCCGGCTGCTACTTGAATAATTCGAATGTCTTGCAAAGATCTACAACATAATGGAGTTCCATTAACTCTTTGTATTTACACTTTCACAGTTTCATGCATACACAGTGATTAAGATATTGACGACCTTATTTGCCGAGGCCGCCATTCTTCCTCCGTGGTGCCATGTCCTAACTGTCCTGAGCTATTAGATCCAAACGAGTAGACTTCTCCAGTTGATGTCACAGCAATGCTGTGACCAGGCCCTGCAACTGCCTGTGATTTCTCCCTCCTGCAACATGTTTCCCCAGCCAGCAGAAACCTGAGGACCAATTTCCAAGAACCTCCGCATTTTTGCTTCAAACTTTGACGTTCTTCGTCAGCCATCGGCTTAAATATAGCTCTTTTCTGGCACATATCAAGAGCAGCAAGCTCTGATATTGACAATTCATAATCGGGGGCGAAGTTTGCTTGTCGCTTAAAGAAGGAACATGTCGCCTGAAAACAACACATTTACAGAATCAAATCATTCAGCATTATCAATTCTAACATTTCAAAACAGCTTCATTTTCAACTTGCCTCTAGTTTCGCAAGATCTCGAGGGTCCAAATTGCACGCGGTAAGGACATGAAGAACAATGGAAGGATTTGCAGCTAAGGGGAATTCTCCGGGAGATGAATCCCCGAAGCAAGGACGAACTTGTCGTGGAAATGCTGGTACAGAAGTGGCAACAATAGCAGTGATTGGTTGATCAGGGATATTATGGTATCTTATAGTCGGAGTTTCGCTTCTTGTGGCATCCATGGGCACTGCCCAAGTTATGCAGTGCCCCCTAAACTTGACAATGAGATTATCTAGATTGCTGGAAAAAAATACAAAATATGAGATTAAAAAAGCAACATTAAGAAAAAAACTCAAATGATCCAAATTACTTTATAAACATTAGAACTTTATCGATTTGTTGGTTCAATTTACAAGTGCCAAGAACATCTACCTTGAATAATTGGTTGATTCAACAAACTTCAAGTTTCAAACCTACAAATAGGATAGTGAGAAGAGATTCTCATAAAAACTCCTAGAATCACATGAGAAAAAAGGACAATTTAGGCCAAAAATTATGTGATCATTTCAAAAAGCACAAAGAAAAATAAGTTTACAATTCGAACCCATAGTTTAACTTGGTTTATTCATTCACATTGTTTGGGATTAGAATCTCGGTGTTCGATCACTTCCCTTGTTTCGAAACTAGGATTCTATGCCTTAACATCCAATGATTGATCAAAGCTAACAGAACCAAACCAGGTTTGATGATCCAAAAGGGCTAAACACAAAGGTAATCAAAACAGCAACAGTGGCAGAAAAGCCATAGAGACGATCCAAAAACAGCAACTTTAAACCATGATATTTAAGGAAGAATTGTAGAAGAATAAAACTTTCAAGAGAAGAACATAGTCCTCCATGTTAAAAAAATATTCTAAACTCGAATGAAAACCCAGACAAAAGGCAAAGTATGATCATTGACCTGACAAACAATCAAGCAAAATCAACATCCACCGTTTAAAAAACAGGGGATTTGAGTTAAAAAAAATCACGGTCAAGATAATGAACTTATTGAAAAACCCCAGATCATCAACAACATCAGATGATAATAAAAAAAAAGAAAAAGAAAATCCAAAGAACAAAATAGAATTATATGTTTAAATAATATGATCATTAGTTCATTACAGATCAAGGCAGAATACATAGAGATTGAAAATTACATGTTACAAAGACCCATAATTCTTCTAAACCCATCTGCATCTGTCAATTATTGAAGAGAATTACAACCCACAAATAAGATGAAATAAAAAAAAAGATAGCATAATTTACATCAATTTGGTAGAACAAAGAAGTGGGTAATATAAAACCGAAGTCCATGGCACTCACTGGCTCTATGCTATGTTTCATGCTTGAGAAATGGATCGTGAATCGGATTCTTCATAGATGATAAATAAATAAATAAATAAATAAATAAATAAAGAAGACGTTTTGTTTATTTTTCTCGCGATGAGATGTCTTACATCCCCATTGATTTATGCTTCTTACCTGGGACAACTTTTACACGTCAATTTCCTCTAAACTATTTTAAATTAATTTATTTAATTTTGCCCATCAAAAGATGATAATTGATGAGAGAGGAGGGCTTAGATGTTAGTAAGCTATAATTTTAAAAATAATTTAAATTTAATTAAGATAAATATAAAAATTATATATATTTATATATATATATATATATATATATGTATTGTAACTGTTTAGACTCGGTCTGTAAGTTAGACCCAAACCTAAGTGGTCACATATCTCATTCAGAATTTTTTTTTATTTCCTTAAAATACATTAGATATAATATAGAAAAAAATATTAATAATACATATATATCCAAAACAATAGCAAATACATGTAACTAAACATAACCGAAAAACATATAGAGATATACGTTCGTACAAAATAAGTAGTTGATCTCCCCTGATGCCAAATTTATTAGCTTACGGTATGTTGTTATCTAAAAAAGGATAAAAACTACATAATGAGCTAAAAAGCTCAGTGTGCTCCATACAATATATAAAAAAACATACAGATAAAAACTTTCAATAAAATCGGTTTATGCAACATGTTTTTAAAACATGAACACTACCCCCATCCGTTCACATCATAAATGTGTAGGTTCCCCAAAACCATACACCCAACCGCACATGCCATTTAGACCCTGAGCACAAAGCCGAGGAGTCTGCAGAAAATCTTCCTTCAACAATACCCTCAATGACAATATTAAACATGAATGTATTCAAGTGAAAACAATGATTAATCACTTAAAACATAAAAATGTTTCATACTTGGAAACCATATGCAGAAATACAGAAATCAGAATTCAAAACAGTAATATATGGTAATTCAGATGTCAGATAATCAGATTTCAGAAATCGGTATGAAATACCTTAATCCAGAAATTATATCGGAATATACAGTAAATCATATATCAAATACTTGGTATTCAGATGAATCATTTTAAAAAAGTAATGTAATACTGTCAGGAAACACACCTGTAACAGTCTGAGAAATCAGATAGGGAAGCATACTACTGGGTTTGTCGATCACGTTCTGCTGCAGCGCTAGATCCTACGAATTGAAAAAATCCATATTGGAATCCTAATATAAATAATCTTAATCTTTATTTAAATAATATACGGAAACCTACGGGTAATTCTTGTAGTACGCGGTTCGAGCTGATCTGACAAACGAACAACTCCGGACCTAACTGATCCTCGCTCAGGTGAAACACGAGTACCTTCATAAAATATTTTATTGAATCAATTCCTTAACCAAATCTCAAATAAATAATTAAAATACTAAAATACTAAGCCCTTTTTGGGTTCACGTGCTCGATTTGGGAATTCCGGGTCATAATTTGGCAAAACAGACTTCGAAATCAGATTCAAGACGTCGAAAAACATAAAGTATGACCTTCCGGATATTTAAATTCTTGGTTAAAGTCAAAGGGTTTGACTAACAATTTGGAGATTTCGGGTTCGAATTTGGTGAAACAAACCCCAAAAATGGATTCGAGACGTCGAAAAATATCAAGATAGATATACTCGAAAAAGATTAACGGTCGTTTAATGGCCGGTCAAAGTTCTGGTCAAAGGAGGTTAACGATCAACGGGTCGGGTCGGACCAGTTCGGACCGGTCAACCCGGTGCGGACCGGTCAAACTGGTTTCAAGCATTGGCCGAGCCTTCCCCACGCGCAGTGGCGGCCCGTGGGACCTCTTCCGGTGTCCTATAATTCACGGAAAAATTTCTAAGAATTATTTTGAGCGATTTCGAGATACTTACAAAGCTCGGTTCAAATTTTTGAACGGCGGAGAGCTCGATTTCAACAAATCGGAAACTTTGACCACTTCACCTCCTCATGCGCCGCCGTCTATGAAGACCAATGATGACACCGACAGACTCGGAACGTAACAAGGAACACGATGGTGCGGGAGGTGTCGTAAACGGAGCAACGATCGGTGATGAATTTAAGATTTTCTCAGCGATTGTGCTAAAAAAACGTTGAGACTTTGACTTGAAATTCCCGGCGTTTGGTAGCGTTTCACTTCAATTAATTTAAGGGGTTTGTTCCTCGCTCGATGATGAACACGGTGGTGCTTTCAAATCGACAATTGGAGGTCGGATGGCGTCGGAATAGTGGTTGGAAGTTGGGGCTTTAAGGGAGGAAATTTGGTGATTTCACACTTATAATGTATGAATGCCGACACTCTAGGGGTAAATTCAGGGCTTGGTCCCTAAATTTCCTTCATCTCTAAAATAAGCTACAAGTTTTAAAAATTTTCAATTTAGTCCCCAAATTTCACCAATTTACTTAATTAACTCGTCCAATTTCAATTAAAATTATTTTTTTTAAATTTCCGGGTTGTTACAATTCTCTCCCTCTACAAGAAATTTTGTCCTCAAAATTTACCTAATGAAAATAGATGAGGAAACTGAGCCTTCATTGACTCCAAAGTCTCCCAAGTAGCTTTTGAGGGACTACGATTACTCCACTGAACTTTGACCATTGGAATACGCCTATTCCGAAGAACTCGTTCATCCCTCTCTAAAACCTGAACAAGTTCCTCCTCATATGACAAATCAGGTCTCAGTTCTACCTCATCAACCTGAATGATGTGATTCGGATCTGGATGGTATCGTCTCAACATAGACACATGAAAAATATCATGAATACGACTGAGCTGTGGAGGTAACTCAAGTTGATAAGAAACAGGTCCAACTTTCTTCAAAATACAATACGGCCCAAGAAATCGCGAACTCAGTTTACCCATACGTCCAAATCTCAATACCTTCTTCCAGGGGGATACCTTAAGAAAAACATGATCTCCAACCTCAAACTCGATATCCTTACGTCGCTTATCTGCGTATGATTTCTACCCATCGAATGCCTCTTTTAAGCGATCATGGATCAATTTGACAGTATCTTCAGTCTCTCGAACCAAGTCTGGACCCAAAGTTTTTCTATCATGCAACTCAGTCCAACATATAAGAGTACGACATCTACGTCCATACAGAGCCTCGTACGGTGCCATGCGAATACTCGCCTGATAACTATTATTGTAAGCAAACTCAGCTAACGACAAGAAATCTTCCCAGCTACTACGGAAATCAATCACACAACCCCATAACATATCCTCCAATACTTGAATAACTCGTTCAGACTGTCCATCAGTCTGAGGATGAAAAGTTGTACTGAAATTCAAACGAGTACCCAGAGCCTCATACAAAGCTTTCCAGAACCTGGAAGTGAACCTCAGATCTCGGTCAGATATGATAGACAATGGTACACCATGAAGTCTAACGATCTCATAAATGTACAACTTAGCCAGTTTGTCCAGAGAATAATTAATCCGGATAGGAATAAAGTGCGCTGACTTGGTGAGTTGATCAACAATCACCCAAATAGAATCCTTTTTAGAAGGAGTCAAAGGAAAACCAGTAACGAAGTTCATCGTAATGCGCTTCTATTTCCACTCATGACTCTTAATTGACTATAACAATCCAGATGGATGCTGGTGTTCTGCCTTAACCTGCTGACAAGTCAAACACCTCGCCACAAAATCTGAAATATTCTTTTTCATACCAGTCCAAAAGTAGCGCTCCTTGATATTATTGTACATTTTGTCCCCGCCAGAATGCATAGCATAAGGACTACTATGAGCCTCTTGAAGAATAACCCGTCTCAACTCATCATCTTTAGGTACCCAGTAACGACCGTGAAAACATAAAATACCATCCTGATTCACAGTATACTCTGAACCCGTTCCCTGCTTAACTTGTTCAATAATGGGAAGCAATGAGCTATCTAGAAGTTGTTTGGCCTTAATCTCCTTGGCCAAAGTGGGTTTAACCTGCAACTCTGCTAACAGACTGTTATCATCAAATAAACTCAAGTTAGCGAATAAGGCTCTGAGATCTGATATCGTCTTATGGCTCAAGGCGTCTGTCACTACATTAGCTTTTCCTGGATGATATTCTATCTCTAAATCATAGTCCTTTAGAAGCTCCAACTAGCGACGCTGTCTCAAATTTAATTCTTTCTGAGTAAGCAGATGCTTCAGACTCTTATGATCAGTATACATATAACACTTTTCTCCGTATAGGTAGTGTCTTCATATCTTTAAAGCAAAAACCACGACAGCTAACTCCAGATCGTGAATAGGATAGTTACGCTCATGCGATTTTAACTGACGTGAAGCATAATCGACAACTTTCCCATCTTGCATCAAAACACATCCTAATACAGAGTGAGAAGCATCACTGTAGACAGAAAAATCTTTCCCAGATTCAGGCTGAATCAACACTGGGGCTTGAGTTAGAACAGTCTTCAATTTCTCAAAGCTAGCTTGTTGGTTCTCAGACCAGACAAATGGAACATCTTTCCTCAATAGTTTCGTCAGAGGAACTGCAATAAGGGAGAACCCCTCAACGAAACGACGGTAGTAACCAGCTAAGCCCAAGAAACTACGGATCTCAGAAACGTTCATGGGTTGCTTCCAGTTCAGAATAGCCTCCACTTTTCTTGGATCCACCCGAATACCATCAGCAGAAACGATATGTCCAAGAAAAGTCACTTTGTTGAGCCAAAACTCATACTTGCTCAACTTAGCATATAGCTTATTCTCCCTTAGAGTCTGTAGAACAATCATTAAATGCTCCTCATGTTCTACTTCACTTCTAGAATACACCAGTATGTCATCAATGAACACAACTACAAACTGGTCAAAATAAGGTCGAAACACCCTATGCATCAGATCC